TTTGATATATGTGAAAAATTACAACCACCAATATTACCTGAAATGCCAGCGCAAATGATGGGATGTAGATCCATATAAAAGATAAACTATCAATGAGCCTGATGGATTTGCTATTAATAAACATAACAAAATTCATAATAATAATAATATCATCAATAGTAGTATTGTCGGTGGTTAAATCACACCCAGATGCGTGTTCATAAAAGTAGAATATTAGATGAAGAGATTGCTAAATCTAAAGCTTAAAAGGTTAGGTTATACAAATAATAGTACTCTTTTCTCTAAAATGTTAAAAATTTCATTATTAATTAATTACTATTCATTAATTATTACTAGCAATATTTTTTTATTTACATTTGATTGATCAATAAACATAGTAATGATAGTAAACGAAAGAATTGATTAAACGACTAATTTAATCTCCACTATAAATTTATTCATTATAATTATTTATCTTTTTTATTTTATTTATTTGATTAAACGACGATATTACGAGGTACCATTTCAGTTAATACCGATTATTTTTTTAACAAGTATGCATGATCATGGCTTGATTTTTGGATTACTCTTGTCAGTTAATTGCAAGCAACGCACAATAATTCAATGCTTGTCAATTAATTGTTTACGAATTTACTTTGGTTCTCGATTACTAACAAACGTTAGTCCCAACCTTTGTTTACTAATTAAAAGCAAATTACATTACTAACCGTTGTTAACACTCACTATTTAAACCTCCTGATCTTGCTTTCTCACTAGAGCAAATAAAATTTGGTTTTTACCAAATTGTTATTATTACCTTTTATCAAAAGACACTACATTTGTTGCGCTTTAAACAAAGAAAATAAAGATGACGTTTTTTATTTCTATTCTTGTTTATTAATAAATTAATGGATTTCTATCACAGAGTTTTATTTAATCATGTATTATAGTCCTCTGTTTTTCAACAAAAACCCGATGTTGATCTTGCTTTTTCAAGAAGTTATTCTCGATAAATTTTCGTTGATCATTACAATAAGAATAAGGTAAAGATGGAAAATTAAAGGTTTATTGCTGCAAAGTGACTTAATCAATATTATAAAAACTCCCATAATTATTATTTACACAGTAATTTGATAATAGTTATAAAAAGCTTTGCGTAAAATTTTCATATGTATAAAATTATTTGACCCTGGAACATAAAGTACACGATGATTTTATCAACCACGATCATGTGTCATGTTACTAATATTAATATAAAGAATGTTCGTAAATGAGTGTGTGGGAACTGAATTTGTATTCAGCAAAAGAAAAATTTGGTTCCTCGAGAAACAACTTGTGGAAACAAGAAAATTTTAGCTAAAATAAAAATTGAATCATTAGCCTTTGAAGCAATTTTACTTAACGGCAGCAAATTTGACGTAATAGTTTTACAACTTTGGTAACAAACAAAATAAAATTATTTATTACAAAGCATCTGTGCATCAAAAATCAAATGTGTCAGATTGTTAAAATAATAATTCAGATTATTGAGACAGTTTAAATAAAAGTGATTTCAATTAATGACTTAACTCAGAAAGCAAAATTTACCCCACCTTTATACAACAGTTTAATCGAGACAAGAAAATAGGTGAGCGGTGAAAAAATTTGAAAATAACCCACAGACTTGGTTTACATTTGTAATCTTATATATTAACAGTTAATATTGATATTAATTATCATATCTGTGGATTATGGACAGCCAAACCATAATGACAATAGTTATATTAATCTTGAAAACTATTTGCAGCGGTCGTGGTTGCTTGTGGCAGCCGGAATTATTTACGGCAAATGGTAGCTACCAATAGCTATTTACGGCAATGGTAGTGTCTTTAATTCAAACTGGCTGGTATTCTAGTCATTCGAAATTTTTGATCAAGTTCATGAGTTTTTTCTCTAAGGTTTTAATACATCTTGATTTGGTCTTCTCTAAACTATTATTGTGTAATTCATGCATTATATTTTGGTTTTAGATTTTCCTGCCTTTTTAATTCTTGCTGAATGTTAACAATATTATCTAAATTCTTTTTTTAACCTGGGAAAATCACTTCTAAAATAAGTTGTTGAATTCTACCTGGATTTTTTCTTCAATTAATAAATTAATTTCCAGAAGTAAACCATTATGCGTGTATCATAATAATATTTTTATAATTGTCTTGTGATTTTGCATTTACAATTCCATATTACTTTGCACTTTATCATTGTTTAGGTGGTACAATGGTGATGTTAAACCCTGAACTTCTTTGTGATACAAATGTTCACTTTTTGCAGCAATGCCAAAACTCTATATATTGAATGTCACCGCCAACACTATGATTCGAAAAAAGAGGGAAAGGTGACCGCGACATTATCATTCGGGTCAATATTTAAATCCAAATAAGGAAAAAATCACGGTATATGGATACTGACTAGCTCATTTTGGTTAATTATGTAAATTATTTCCTAAACAGAAAAAATCAACCAATCAACTTTCGAGATTCGCGTTAATATGATCAAGCGCTTAAATTTTGCGGTGACATTCAATAGAGTTTTCCTGGTACAGTCGACGCTCGATATGGTGAACCTATTATATAGTAAATCGTACGATATAGTGAAGTTGGAAAAATTTCCCATTTCATTACATATAAATTCTGCTCGATATAGTGATTTTTAATATAAACTCTCGATATAATCATATAGTGAAGTACCCATTATATTAACTAAAGCTCCGATATAATCATATAGTGAAGTTTATAAAAATTCGTTAATCATTATTTAATTTGTATTAAATAAATAAAATTTTATTAGTAGTTTTGTCGCAAAAATTTTCTCATGAATATTTAATATTAATATGAATTTGGCAAAAAAAATTTTAAAATGAAAATGAAGAATGAAATTTAGTAATAGTGTTGAAAAATAAAGTAATTGAATTTTAGTAATGTGTCGCGAAAAATAAAGTAATTGAATTTTAGTAATGTGTCGGAAAAATAAAGTAATTGAATTTAGTAATGTGTCGCAAAAAATAGAGTAATTAAATTTATTAATAGTAATAGTAGTGAAAAATAAAGTAATTGAATATAGTAAAATGTGTAATTGAATTTGGTAATGTGTCGCAAAAAATAAAGTAATTAATTAGTATTAATTTGGTAATACACACACAGACTCGATAAGTCAGCCGCATAATTTATACTATTGAGTACTTTAAACAATTGATTACTGCGGGATGACTTATCGAATCTATCACGGGATTTTTTGTAAAAAAATTTTATCGATCTTTTTATATAATGAATCACAGTGAAGTCTTTTGTCTTTCTTATATCGAGCGCCGACTGTATTTTTGTAGCGTTTAAAAAAAATATATCAATATACATATAATGATCATCTTTATCTGATTCATTTTCATTGTCCTTATTTGCTACTTATTTGTAACATTACTTACGATTATAATTATAATGATGATGATAATGAAAGTGAACCTACTTGTATAAATTCAGAAGAAGAATCGGATGGAAAAGTGTTGAATGTAATTCCTAAGAAACGAACTAAAGTTGCTAAAATAAATAAAAAGGTGCGACTTCAAAAAAGTTGGTGTGGAATTGGTTCGTAAAAGTAAATTTTCCTAACGGTAAAAAAGTATCAGTATTAATTACAATTGAAAAAATTGTAAAAAACGTCGTGCAACAGATGGCTCAACGGTAAATTTGATTGCTCATTTATACTCAAGACATCATCAGATTGTTGAAACGACAAAAAAGTGATTTAACGGTAATAATCAATCTTTTAAATAACAATAATAAAGTATCACCGGGTTACCGTTTACATTCAATCCGTTCGATATTAATATATTTTTTGAGAAATACCGGATGACGGGTTAATTTTTAAAAGTAAATGACGAATAAACGGATGACAGATATCTACGGATCAATTTTACCAGTTGAATCGAACATCTGGTTCGAACCCAAATCCTGGGATATATAGAATATTAAAGCACCAATTCACTCATCAATAACACATAAAAAGTGAATAATTTAATATTTTAATAAAATAATGCTCAACTTTACCAACAAATTTTTTTTTTGTGGATTTTGTTTAGTCTTTTGCCCTCACTATAAATTCCACAATATCAGCTCTATGATATAAATCAAAAATTAATAAATAATTTAAAAAACTGTTTTTTATTACACTAAATATTAAAGTAATTACTAATCATAATCAAACAGACTCACCCACTCACCTTCAATCTTTTTACATGTGTGCATATTAAGATATGGAACTTATATTCTATTTTTGTTTTTTCAAAGTCATTATCTTTTAACATGATAAATATTTTCATCTCGGATACGACAATTAGTTTTGTAGTCAAAACAATTATTTTGTCGGTAAACATTTTTGCCACATTTTGGGTTGTGGCTACGTTACTATCAATAAGAATATCAAAATCAGAATGAAAATACTTGTGAAGATTGATAAGAAAACCAAAAGGTTCTTCTTTTTCATGGATCGCCTGATTCCTTATTAGATTTTACGTGGCAAAATATCTACAAAGTGAAATTTAATGAAACCTAATTTAGCCTCAATTTGTAGCATTTGTCGATTCAAAATGATTTCCTAATTCTTGATATTGTTGTATGCGAACCATATTTGATTTGCTAATTTCAACAGTGGAGGATATGATGATGTATGTAAATGCTTTAATGAATAATTTACAAAGTGATTATAAAAATATTAACGTTGACATCACTAAAACCAAAAGAAATCTATACACAGTAAAAATTTTGATACAAATTATGGAGTATCGATATATCTATCCATTACCATTATTTTGTAAAAGTTTGCTTTATCACAATCTATTTTTTTAAAAAAAATATACCCAATGATGGTAATGGTGTCATTAATGTTATTTGCCACGTTTCTGGGGTTATGTAAATTATTGAAATGAATAATGATGCTATGCAAGAAGATATATAACTATCACTAGGTACTCAACAATTACAAAATATAACTCTATGGAAGGAGAAGAGGAAGATGACGAGAAAGTAGTAGAAGCAGTGATAATGAATGGGATAGGTGGATACAAACACTTGCACTAATGCAAAGTCTGTAACATTAACATGAGTTACTACTACATCAACTCAATGTCCAAGTAAATCGCACCATGATAAGATCAGAGTTAGAAGGTAAGCTTGCTTGATTTCTTGTACTTGTAATTAAGATGTATTAGAATATTTGCAAAAGTATTGATAAAAGGCATCAGATCGTGTTAAAAAAGAAAAAATTATGAATCAACCAAGTGGTGAACTAAGTATGTTAGAAGGTGATGGTGGAGTTGTTTGTTCAGTTGATCACATCAAGAATTAATGGTTTTGCTTAAATACATTTTTGCAAAAAGAACAAATAATTTATTGTTTAGGGTAAAAAAGCGTTTGATTGATGATGACAGTGAAAAAGAGAGAAATTAAAAAAAGGAGGCGAAGAACTTGTTTCAGATTGGTTTTTAAAAAGGTGGGTGGATCAATTGAAAATTATTTTTATAATTTTATGTAAATATTGTTTATTC